ATCAAGCCTTTTCAAGCCAAGAAACCATTTTTAGAAGCTTTGGATGATTAATTAGAGAGTCAAAGAAATTTCAAATTTGACAAGCTTATTGTCAAATCAAGCGTCTCGGTTAGACGAATCGAATGAGCTCTCAAGACCGCTCGATTCCAATATAATTAAAGCACCTAAATGTCCCTAAAACACCATTCAGTCAAGGGAATCGTTCTAGGTCATCCGAGGGAGTTTCAGATTCTTGTCTTATTTATAGGGGATAACACTCCCATATTCTATAAAAAGAGTCTTACTCCCTTCATGAAAAGGGAGGAAGAGCTAGACCTGGAGCCAGATTAGGAGAAGAAGGATCCAATTTCTAGAGCTATTCTAGATTGAAGAGTTGACGACTCTCGCAACTTTCGACCACCGTCAACGACCACTCACCGGCTGTCAACCTTAGTCGACCAACGTCTACTTGTCCCCATTGGTGGACACTATAGAGTAACAAGGTACATTGCAACAAAGCACTTTGCAGAGTAGTGCCGTGCTCTGCTGAGTAACAAAACACCTCATGGAGTAACGTAGTGCCTGAAACACTCTTCTATGGTGTACCCACCTCCACTAATAACTCCTAATAAAATTGTTCCCAACCATTCTGTGTATAAACATTATATTTGGAGAAACCTTAACTTTTTCCCGCCTGTAGGATAAGTATTTATACTCGCAAACTCATAGTGAATCATTTTGAATAGGCTAGACCTCTTCATTTTTTCCTTTTCTGGTTTTTTTCATGTACAAATTTCCTAGTGTGTCTTCCTGTTATTTTATCATCTGTGTGTGTGCTAAATCTCGGTGTAACACAAAGACATTAAATATCAATCTTTGGCCCTGAATTTAAATATCGGTGACACACCATAGTTGGATGTCATCTATGGGAAGAACAATCCCATCATCAAAGGGATCGTAGAATTTGCCGAATCACCACGAGACGCAATACTCATAACAACGAAGCATCCTGTTACAATGCCCACCATTCCAATGGACAATCACGGAGCTGGGGATGTCAAGTCGCTGCCTTTTCCCATGCTGAAGGATGTCATACTACTGGTTAAGGTGCATCGAACCCCTCTTTAGAAGAACGAGTGCACTGGATAGAGGAGTCTCAAATTGAGATTCTTTAGCTCCTACGTGAGGCTCAACAACCGATAACAACTAGATGGAACATACTTACCACAAGGTCAACAACCAACAGAAAATGCCTCACTTGAGAATACTCATATTGAGAACTTCCCCATGGCGTTGGGACTGTTCCCCTTCCATACAGCTAAACCAACCGATAATCATCTGACGCTCAGAGAAAACATGACCCAAATACATCTTGTGTCTCTCTTGACAGGGTAATGCACGACAAGCTATGACATTTGGTTTGAGAAGAGTTTCCTTTGAGAGATAGGGAACATTCCTTTGCTCATCATAAATTTCAAGTGTTCACCCTTGGCAGAGGTGATCCTTCAACAACCCATCTTGGTGGGCTTCAAGCTCCTAAACATTGAATCTTATGATAGAGTACCTTATGTATATGAACGCGTTGACCATTATCAAATTATTATGCACATCCAATGTGCTTCTGATGCACTTCTTAATCACAAATTTCCTACCACTCTCAAGAGTGAAGCTCGCACTCGGTTCCACTCCCTCTCATGAGGGACTATGCAAAACTTAAATGATCTTTCCTACCAACTTGTGGAGCATTTTATAACAAATAAAAGGATCATCAAAGATTTGTCTCTTCTTTTAGGAATTCATCAGAACGAGAGAGAATCACAAAAGCAGTACTTCCAAAGATTTTCCATTGAATCTTGTCAATTCTTAGTGATGCATCCCAAATTATTAAGAGGATTTTTTCTTGCAGGGCTCTGCTCAGTATCTTTCTACACAAAATTAATGTGAGAGATAGTTTGCTTTATGCTGACCACGTTGATCACGTTGAAGCACAAATCACTATAGATGAGACTATCAATGCACACAAGTATCAATTTAGTGACTTGGGGAAAGCGTTAGACTAATCCCGGGGATCCCGACCAAACCTCATGATGAAATAAGTATGAAACATAGAGGAATCATGATCTCCCTCCTCAGCCTCCGAACAAGCAACGTGAGCCTCAACCAGAGGAGTATATGTCATTCAACACATCCCGTGTCAATGTGTTAATGACCATTAAAGATGAAGAGACTATTAAGTGGTCTCACCCTTTGAACTTGAATCCAGGAAACAAATAATAGTACTGTCACTTCTACTGGAGTTGTGGTCACACAACTAAGGCATGTAATCAGCTCAAAGTGGGGACTGAAAGGTTAATATTCCTAAAAGAAACATGTCTGTCTAGATGACGCTCCCACTAGAAGACAACATACACAAAAACAATTGCAGGGGAACCATCAAATGGTTTGCGAAGTTGAAATAAAAGCTGGAGGTTCATTATTGTCCTTTAATAATTTTGACCTAGAAAGGGTCTACATCCCTCATCAAGACCCGCTCATCAAAAAACATAGAAATTGGCGAACCTTGCTATAATATAAGGAGAAATTTGATTGATAATGTTAGCTTTGTTGATGTTTCATTTTACTAAATGTCCCTTAGCTTGGAGTTGGCCAAAGAAAAATTTCAACTAGCATCTAGGCCATTGTACGAGTTCAATAACCAACCCGTGAGTGTCGAGGGAACCATTATTCTTCCTATCTTAATGGGAGAATTTCCTTGACATATGACTCACTCTTTCTAATTCATTACCGTTAATGTTCTGGTTCTTTTTAAACTCGGAGTCACTAAGTTATTTGTATATTGATTCTAAGTCACATAGTGATATGCTTGAATGCTTATATGAACTTTATAATGAATATTTAAAGAAGCATAAAACTGTTAATATTGATAAAAAAAATGATAAAGCAACATTTGAAATGCTAAGGGTGTGAAAAAGGACATAATAACTCCCAGTTGCTAACCGTTGCAACTGACACAGTGAAATTCAAGATCTCAAAAGATATTAACTAGTACTAAAAAAAGAAACTTGGTCACAAAATGTAAGCAGGGGCTCCTAAAAATGGGGAGAGAGTCTCATCCAAAGAAGTGTCATCGTATTGGATTTGGTTCTTTTTTAACTAGAAGTTGTCTGCTTGTCTGCGTGTCATATTATAATTATCTTTTTCAAATAACCCTCTTTCTTAAATCATTAACATGACTCGAAGAAGAGGAGGGATTGGAAAGAAACAACATACAATGAAACTAGAGAAACAAATTAAATTAAAAAGAACATGGAGAACTTATGTAAGATTATTCCCGTGCGATAAGTTAAGACTGTATTCCAAAATGAAATATGATCAAAACACATTGAAACACAAAATCCATGAAAAAGTACTCTACATAAGCAATTGGTATAACCAGAGAACCAAAATTATAATTTATTATGAGGTAAAGAGCAAATTCCAAAGAAATGTATCCCTTTGATTAATTACAACTTGAGAGATACCCAAGAAAACACACAATAATAGAAACCCTACTTACAATTTGTGATAACTAATGAAATAAGGATATCAAAGGAACATGATCATCCCACAACTTCCAAAACCTATACGGAGCTAAAAAGGAGAGGTTGAATCCCTTAAATCCTCAAATGGACGATGACCCGTCGACAAATGGGGCCTAGGAAATAACATAATGTTTCAAAGTCTACCAAACCATAAAGGCAAAGAGTGAATCATTGTATCCCAATCAAGCGACAACCTATTAGCAATATGGGCCCACGAGATGACGTCAATGAGGTATCAAAGGGAAGACTGTATTCAGAGGGGTTTACTAATGAAATGGGAAGGAAACCCTAATCTTGTAGAGATAGCTGGGTCAGGATTTCATAGACTCATCATCCCAAGCTATTAAGTCCTTGGTCTACCTGGTCGTGAAGGTAGTCAACCTAGCCCGATATGGGACCCCTTATCATGAACCCATGTGTTGTTTTGTACAAGAAAAATCCTTATAGCCCTAAAATCAAAGGAAAAAACATCTAATTCTTATGACCCTAATAGGTGAGATCTACAAAAGTAAGATTTATACCAATCAAAAAATGATAAGGATACCTCTAGAAAGAAGAGGAAAGAGGGATTCAGCTACAAAGTTTTAATACCACATAAAAAAAAATAGCACAATTTCTAAATCTTAAGAAGTGAGATGCACCTTTTTATCGATAGTTTTGTGACATTGAAGTGGTATAAATACAAATATCAAAGTTTAGGGGTTAGAAATGTAAATACATAAGAATAGCGTAGCATTATGTATAGGGTACAAATTAAAAAACATGCTACTTTGAGGTAGATTTTCTACTGCTGGAAGAGAATCAGGTCTTTACCCAGAAACCTTCTGTTTTTGGGTTTCACAAATCAGAAGTCTTCAATAGTTTTAGGAAAATTAGTACTTTATTTTATAAATCAAAGCTTTATTTGTCATTCAATCCATAGGAATTTGTATCCTTGCAGTAGATAGTTCCATGAAGTGCCTAAATAAGCCAATATTTCGAGTCCTCGAGTTTTATTTAGCCTAATCATACTTAATAAAAATCTTTGAAGTGCAGTGTATAATGTATATAGCTGTGTGGTTAGCAAACAAAATTTTAGGTAATTCAGAAGGCATTGTATCCATCAAAGAGCAAGTTCCATGATTTGCAACAATACAAGCTAATCTAAAAAAACTAAACTATAAGAAAAGAAGTTACGGACACAATTCTTATGTATTTACATATCTCACGCCTAAAGTTTCATATTTACACATATAACATTTTGATGCTTCAAAACTATGCATGAAAAAGTGTATTTCACTTTTAAAAATTGATAATAGTACTATTTTTGTGCTACATGTGTAAAAATGATAGCTTAGGCGTAAGATAAGTAAATACATAAGAATTTGTGCTATGTACGTAAATGTCCTCTAAAAAAAGAGCATGCCAAACAAGAAACAGCAACATTATTTCGATCGAAAATGAAAAACTACAATGTATGTACTCATTAAAAAAATAAAGAGGTTCTTAAAAGTGCAAAATTTCCAACAAATAAAACCTCATAGCAAAGTTTACTGAACACAAATAACCAAAGAAAAAATGAAAGGTAGAATGAACAACAGAATCAAGGTTTCAAAGCTACTAACCCAAATTATAAGCTCTGAAAAACTTTAATGGCAGCCTCAATAGTTTCTTCAATATCAGAAGAAGTATGAGCTATGCTTGTAAATCCTGCTTCAAACTGGGATGGAGCAAGATAAACACCTTCTTCCAGCATACCCCTGTGAAACCTCGCAAATTTTGTCGTGTCACTTTTTTTTGCATTTTCATAATTAAATACAGGCCCCTCTGTGAAGAAAAAACCAAACATTCCTCCTACATAGCCACCGGAGAGCTCGTGTCCCGCATCTCTACCGCCTTTCAGAATTCCTGAAATCAGCTTTCCGGTGATCTCATCCAAGTACTCGTAACACTCTGATTCTCGCAACCTTCTAAGGGTGTGAATTCCAGCAGTCATGGCTAATGGATTTCCACTTAAAGTTCCTGCCTGATACATCGGACCAGAAGGAGCCACCATCTCCATGATTTTCCTCTTCCCTCCATAAGCACCGACAGGTAAACCGCCGCCGATAATCTTCCCCAAAGTGGTTAAATCGGGAGTTACGCCGAAATACTCCTGAGCTCCACCGTAAGAAAGTCGGAATCCGGTCATGACTTCATCGAAGATGAGAAGAGAATCTTCTTCCTCTGTAATTTGGCGCAGGGCTTCCAGGAAACCGGGCTTCGGCGTGATGAATCCGGCATTTCCAACAACTGGTTCGATTATCACTGCAGCGATCTCGCCTTTATGGCTCTCAAAAAGATTCTTCACGGATTCGATGTCATTGTATGGAGCAGTTAGAGTATCTGCAGTAGCCGCCTTAGGGACGCCGGGGGAGTCAGGGAGGCCAAGGGTGGCGACACCGCTGCCGGCTTTGACGAGGAACGAGTCAGCATGACCATGATAGCAGCCCTCAAATTTTATGATTTTCGGACGGCCAGTGAAGGCACGGGCGAGACGCAGAGCACCCATGCATGCTTCGGTTCCGGAGTTAACAAACCGAACCATCTCGACACTGGGAACGGCAGAGATGACCATTTCCGCCAATGTGTTCTCCAAGATGCATGGAGCTCCAAAACTCGTGCCTTTTCTAACAGCTTCTATTAAGGCAGCATTAACCTGTATCAAGGATTTTAAAGAAAAGTAACCATTCTCGTCCACTGTAGTTGATTATTACCGTTGCAGTATCTTTTAGGAAGATTTATATACATTCCTATGAATTTACATATCTAACACCTAAACTTCCATTTTAACAAACACACCACCTTATCTATACATGAAAAAGGCATATTTCACATTTTTTAAGTTAAAATGGTGATATTTTTATGTTATGAAAAATTTGGGTTGTATAAATGTAATAGTTAAAATTTTGGTGATAAAAATACCTAAGATTTGGGTGGTATGTATGTAAATGCCCCAATCTTTTACTACTGGGAAACACATCAATTCTGGTTTTTGACAACAGCTAAATAATAGTGGGTGGTGCGGGGGAAAAAATAAACTAAAATACGAAATTTGTCAGAGTAAACAAAAATATTTAGCGCATGATCATATGAATGGAAAAATATAATCATTGGAGAACAGTTGTGAATCTCATTGAAATCAAAAGAAAGATAGTGTCAGTACACACTATAGAATATAAAAGCGTCATTTGCGTACATATACCACACAATATTTATGTATTTACATATCTAACAACTAAACTTTCATATTTATATACATAATAATCTAAATTTAATACCACATCAAAAAGATCACTACCGCTAATATTTTGAAAGTGAAGAACACAAGTTCATTCATATGTCCATGACACCAAAATCTTATAATTGTAAAGATCAAACTTTAGGTGTTAGATGTGAATAAACTTCCCAATATAAAAATGAACAAATAACATATCTAACCAATCATGCCAAGCAAAGCATATCTTTTCATGTAGAACAGAAATAAAGAGGACATAAAATTAAGAAGGAAAACGTGGAGTGTGGCGTGGCACCTTGTCATCAGCATGGCCAATGATAGCTGGCCCCCATGAGAGCACATAATCAATATACTCATTACCATCAACATCGCAAACTCGAGAGCCCTTCGCAGAATCGAAAACGATGGGCTGTCCCCCGACGGATTTAAAAGCACGTACTGGAGAATTCACACCTCCAGGCATCAACTCCTGGAATCATACCTCCATCAGAAATCCATAAAATAATCCATAAAATAAAAAAAACATTCGTAACAATTTCACAAAAGAGACATCAAGGAGCTTCTAATAAAAGTATTGATAATGATGCATGTCTAAAATCAGCTACTGTGAGGATGTACATAGCAAGATAAATGTCTTATGATGCACAGATATGCACATGGGGATATGGACACAACATGCATATGTGATAATTTTATTATTAAAAAACTAGAATATTGATACACTTTGGTCATGACATTATAATATAAATGTCATTTACATACTTACGATCTAATTCTTATGCCTAAAAATTTTTTAGGGCATTTGCATGCATACCATTGAATTCCTTACATATATAAAACCTAAACTTTAACTTTTACATTCATTTATACCACCAAAATCTTTCATATCACATTAAAAATACAACCATTTTAACTTTTACAAAATAAAAGATACATTTTCAAGCATAGATAAGGTGGCATGCATGAAAATTGAAGTTTAGGTGTTAGATATGTAAATACATATGAATTGTTTGGTGTGTATGTAAATCTTCCAATTTTTTTAGAAATTTTTAATTCATTAATTTTCGACAATTTTGTCCGTTTTTTAACATATTTTTTTATTCAGAATTTGTTTTTCGAGTCTGACATGTGTGTCGGAGCTATATCGGTGCCCGTGCCCTTGTCCGATGTGTGTTCAACACTGTATTGCTCCTTAATTAGAAGTGCATCTACATCACAGTAAATGCCTCTTGCGCCTAAAGTTGGATGTTGAAAAACAAGGCAAATTCAGATGTCTGCACTGCAAAGAAAATTTGGTTTTGTTGAGATACAACCACATATAACTAGCTTGCTTCTCAGTATACATTTTCAAGAAGTTTAGCATTCCTGATATATCGAGGACAACTTAGAAGACCTCATATGAGACACAAAACGTAGAAGTGGAAAGGTAATTGCAACCTCAAGAAGAAAAGAAACTTTAAAGAGAAATTATTCATAGCCGAATCCATCCAAGTGCGTCCAACACAATAATGAACTTCCTCATTAAAAGCAGAGTTCAATCCTTCAATATAACTTTGGTGCATTGACATACCACCCAATTCCTATGTATTTACATATCTAACCACTAAGCCCAAATCTTTCATATAACATAAAAAATGCACCATTTTATCTTTTAAAAAGTGAAATAAATTTTTTCATGCATAAATAAGGTGGCACATATATAAAAATTGAAGTTTAGAAGTTAGATATGTAAATACATATGAAATTGAGTGGCATGTATATAAGTATTCCTATAACTTTAAGCTATACGATAGCATAAGAATGGACTCTCGAGTTTCAAGTAATATAAAAGCATAATTTCACATCAAGCTATAAAGTGACTTGTTTCTTCTTTGGATCACCGCAAGAGCAGGCTAGGTTAGTATCGTTGTTAACAATCTTTATGAATTAAGTTCCAACCCCTTGATGAGCCACATTGTCGCTTATTTCCAATGGTTTAATTAGAGATAATATGACTTCATCTCCAACCCACAATATCTAAAGTATACAATCTCTTTATTCAATAGTTATTTCATTATTGTTATGCCTTAAATAATGTACTTACATTTTCCATCCATAAAGAAAGGAATTCCATAAAGCTTGAACAAAAGAGGAACTACTTAATTTAGGGAATTCAAGAAAGCGGAAAGGCAAACATATCAGACAAATTAAATTTTAATAAAAGTAACATCTTAGACATGCACATATGAAAACCTATTAATATTAAAAACTCTATTAAATTAAAAAAAAATTAAGTAAAGCAACTAAAAAGAAAATATAAATTCATCTTTCATGTTGTTCATCTCAACAGACACATTTGCATTTTTTATAACTATTGACTTGGAGCTTTGCATCGATTTTTACTTTAGTTGAAAAAAAAAAATTTACTCTGATAAATCATTCGGCTGATATTTGAAGCAAATCTGTGCATATTTGTTGTACTTCTTGTAGAAAAGTTCAAGAAACATTACAGGCAAGCATGCCTTGCTAGTGCACAAAATAGATTTGATATCCATCATTAGTAGTACAATTTCAACACTAATTATAACATTCAGCACAAGAATAACATTATAAATTGGAACTGTACACATGATGTTAATATGAATCCCAGAGAAAATTAAAAGAAAAAAAATCCAATAAATTGGTTAATGGTTCATTAGATAATTCAAGTTATACAACTTAGAAAACTAAACTAGTACCAAAACATTTTAGGATTTATAACTTGCAATATTTGTCTCAATTCTTAGTGTAATTTTACATGGTTTTTTTTTTAAGTATATGATTACTTAAGACATATAAGAAACTTTTAGGATTAAGATAAATCAATACCTTATCACCAGATTTGAATTCACATTCTCTAATTAAAATTTGTAGTAGACATATAATTGTAATAGGTAATAGCTTCATATGATACTTTCATGACATGCACGAAATCTCTTTAACGAAAAATAATCAGATCGTTTTAAGACTATTTGTGAAGAATTATGTATCCGCAGATTCAATAAGATAAATAAAATTTTAATTTTTATATTTAATGAAAGGCAATTGCCCCTAAAAAAATCTCTTCATATGTTTATGCAATCTTAGTTTCTCTATAAGGTTCTTTCTATATATTTATGAATAACATAACCAAAAATTAAAAAAAATTGGCATTCATCTCGCTATTCATCATAAGATAATATCAACAGAAAGTGTATCAGGAATTAAATCAGAGTTTCCTCAACTGCCTCACAAATTTTAGTCGTTATAAGTTGAAGAAAATTTTCCATATGTTGTCCAGACGCAGCCCTGAGTGTGGACTCCAGTAATATGCCGTCATGTGTACTGTATCGGGATCACCTAAAAAAATATTAAAGTAGAACTGTTGAGGTTATTGGAGTGGAACTGCAGATGTTATTGGAAGAGTTATTGAGGTATTAACTCAAATAACGCCGCAATAACCCCTAAAAAAACCCCACAATAACCCTCCAATAACCCTCGCGATAACCCCCAATAACCTTCGCGGTTCCATTTCAATAACCCCTTGCAATAACCCCCACAATAACCTCCACAATAAACCCCCCAATAACCTTCGCGGTTCTACTTCAATAACCCCCCTCCCCGCGCGCGCAATAAACCCTTCAATAAATTCCATGATTTCACTTTAATAACCCCCCAATGACCTCCGCGATGTAGCACACGTGGCGGCATATTACTGGAGTCCGAACACAGAGCTGCGTCCGGACTCGTATTGAAAATTTTCTCTATAAGTTGTTGGTTTTCACGAGTAGAGATAGATTTACATTAATGAAGGCTTTGTTTCAAAAATAAATCCATATTCAATTTCAGATTATTTTATAATATTTGCTAAACTTTAGGCTTAGATTCATGAGTATGTTCTATTGTAGATTTTACTGTAGATTCAATTTTAAGCTACACAACTCATGAATTTACATATCTAACACCCAAAAATTGATATTTACACTTACAACACTCTAGCCTCATAAACTTGGCACGGAAAGGTGTCTCTCACTTTTCAAAAGATAGTGATTGAGGTATTTTTGACGTGATGTTAAAGATATGAGTGGTACCCATGTAAATATGAATGTTTGAGTGTTGGATATGTAAATACATCAAAATTGTGTGGTATGTATGTATTTTCCCCTTTATGTTTTCAACTGTAGACTTTCAGCTTTGCATCAAAAGGTCGTCTTTGCACGAGAAACAAAAATTTCTATTTTTCATCAACCAAAAAAGGAAAAAAAAACATTTTTTTCACTCAATTCCTTACCAACCAAAATAATTGGTAAAATTAATTTCAAGTCAATCCTTCTAACATTTCTAATTTCTTCTTAATTTCCTTATTTTCAACTCCTAAAAACTAGAAACTGTCAAGAAAACAAACAAGGAATGATTTCACATAGAAACATAGAACAGAGCCGTAATAAACAAAAATTCAACCCAATTTCAACAAATTCCATAACTCCACCAAGGATCATCGCGAAGAATAAACCCTAAAACTGCTCCAAATCCGCATTTCAACCATCAATCCAACGACCATTCTAGTAAACGCAGTGTCTTTCCAGCAATTAAGACTGAATGGAAAAGAAGGGTGGAACGATCCTCTTTCCAACAAGTAATGATTTACATGGTTAGCTCGGGATGCATCAATACCTTGGCAGCTTCAAAGATCTCTTCGGACTTCTGCAGATTTAATCTCTTCCTCTCAACAGAGACGGCGCTTCTAATGACAGAGGAGGTCCGGCGAGGAAGCGGAGCAGAGGGCTTTGAGGACGGAGGTAAGGAGATGTTCGAACTCCAGCAGAGACCAGCACCCGAGACACTCGCCATTTCTTCCTCAAGCTCGCTCGCGAGCGAGGCTCCAATGTAGATTGAGGATAGTATTTAGATTAATATATAAGATGCAAAAGTATGGTATGGGATAGCCCACACAAGGAAGATCAAATGCTCATCATCTGAGGATCAAATACTTGATCGATTAAGTACAAATTCTTTTGAGTCAGTACCTGAAGCTGTTCAAATGAAGGTCATCCGAGCCAAAAACCAAGATCTATTGGGGCCAAGAGAAGGCATTAGCTCAATTCTCGTTCCAATGTAGGAGTCTCAAAAACTAAGATCTATTAAGCTCATGTTTACGCTCTATTCTTTGGATACGATTCACATTACAGATTCAAATTTAACAAACTAAAAAGTGGGATAAAAGTGAAAAAAAAAATTAACTCTTAGCTATGTGATAGGCAAAATATATAAAAATTATGATATGTATGCAGACTTCAAAAAAATAATGATAAAATTTTTATAGCATAATTTTTAAATATTTATATATCAAATGCCTAAATATTGATTTTTTTTTTTTTATTTACATGATTCTAATATTTAAAATGACAATAAAACTATCATCATTGTTAACTATTAATAATAAAAATATGTTTTTGCATGTATAAATAAAATATTATAATTATAAAAAAATATTATTTATGTATAAATATATAAATACATAGAAATTGTGTGGTATGTATGTAAATGTTTTTTTACTCATGGAGAGAAAAAAATGTTTAAATGTTATTTTAAAGTATAAAACATTTTTTTAATAATTATTATAAAAATAACTTATATCCTTCTTTAGGACAAATTGTAATTCGTACCTGAAATTTAATAATTGAGAGGAAACCCCAAAAACAAACATGATAAAATCTATGAAGTGGTTTTGTTCTGATTATTTTTCTTATGCTCTTGACATAAAAATATATAAGCGCTCTTATTATTATTATTTTCTTGCATGTGAGTTATTGCACTATAAAAATCATTTGTATTAATGCGTGCTAGAAAATTTATGGTGATAGAGTAATGAATAATTGTCTTAGCATTAAATGGAACTTCAGCACACGCTCAGATAGAAGAAGGTAACAAGTAATGACACTATAAATTTTTACATGAAAAACCTGGAAAGAGAAAAAAACAACGAGGTCTTGCCCAGTTTAACTATTCCACCATGAGTTGGTGATTACAAATGAATTCTCTTGTCCCACATGCTGAAATGGCTTATGCAGTTTCTCAGGTTACAATGTCTTTGTGTAGGACTTGTTGCCCCAAGTTAGGAAGCATGCAACGGCGGATGGAACTGCCTACGACGGTAGGAAACTGTGGTGAAGACAGACAGAAGAGGCGACTGCGAAGGGCAGTCTGAGGTCGCGGCAATCGGAGTTTGTCAGAGGCTGCGACAATCGGAGTTGGTCAGACGCTGTGACAATCAGAATTGGTCAGACGCTGCGACAATCAGAGTTGGTCAGCAACAATAACAATGATCGAAGGCTGCCGAGGATGGAAGTGGTGGCAGCAACAATCTAATGAGGCGACGAAAACCATATTTGATCGGAGGCAGTGATGACAGGAAACGACTGTGGTCAAAAGCAGTGATGTATGGAGGCGGCGACAACGACCAGATTCGGCGTCGGTCGTATGTGGCAGCGATTGGAAGCACAGGAGAAGCGACTGTGGTCAAAAGCAGTGATGTATTGAGGCGGCGACAACGACTAGATTCGACGTCGGTCGTATGTGGCAGCGATTGGAAGCACAGGAGATGGTGACTAAAAGTGGCAGTGGCCGAAAACGGCGGCGACCGTAAGTGACAGAGATGGTGGCTTAAAGGGGCAACATCATGATCCAGCGATAGCGAGCGGAGTTGATTGAATATGCAACGCAGGATGTAGGGCTACAACTCTCTCTTCTGCAAGCTTTTGACTTGCTCTTAACCCAAGGCCTCGGTCCCCTCTCATTAGGGGGTTAGGGCTCTATGTTCAGAATCCAAGTTGCAAATAAGAAATGAATCCAAACAACTCTTGATCGGATGACCCAAAAAGATCCCCTTGTTTATACGATGTTTGATGAACATCTTATTGTCGTGATGATGTCAGAATTGAGTGATCTTGAGCTTGTTGGATTTGTCTCGCCTAGATGCTCAATTTCACTATAAGCGTGACATATTCAACATCTATTTGACGTTTTAATTATATATGGAAAGCTTCCAATAGTGGTTCAATTTCTTGATTGTGCTTGATTCAACTAAGATTGGACCGATTTTTGTATTATTGGATCCGGCTCGTTGAGCCGGTCAGTTTGAGTGTAAGTTTGCCTAAATCGGAGCTTTGAATGACTTCTAGTCAAAGTTTAAATGTTTCTTGTTAAAACATTTATCTCTAGGTCTGTGTCGTATCGCAAAATTTGTGCTAGATGATATAAATTTGTGATGACATACCAAGCTTATAAATATATACTTATTTTAATTAAATTTCTTGTTTAATCATTTTTTGTGCACTTATGTAAAAATAGATCAAGAGTTTCACCATAAGTTCTCTCTATATTGAATCACACAACATGCATTGAGTAAAAAGAAAACAAAAGAAAAGAAAACTAATATAACATTATTTTAAAACTATTTATTTTAAGGAAGATTTAGACCTCAATTGAAGGAGAATTTTTTTTCATATGTTGTCCCGCGGAGCACAGTGCGGACAACGGCTGCGATAAACTTTATCGCGATGGATTTTTTTTTCCTACTGCGATGGGAGAATCACAACTGTTGTCTGCACAGGGCTCTTCGTGCGGACAACGTATGAAAAATTTTTCCAATTGAAGAGCGGAGCTTATGGCATTGACGATTCTCGAGTTGCAAGAAGCTCTTTCATTTTGGGTTCATGTGGTGTGATCCTCCTGTTTATTGTTATTAGTGGATGGTGCTTGATGGCTTCATCATCTAATCGTCTTTCTTATAAAAAAATTCTCAAGGTTAATCAAATCCCTGTGAGTAATGATACTGTTATCTTTTTCCTTCTCAATTTAAAGAGCAGATGGTGGGTTCCTCATCTACTGGGCTCTTGAAGAAGGCGGGTAGAACGAATGGTAAAACAATTTTATTTTTTCAAGAAGAGGAAACTAATGTTTTTGTGGAACCTCTTAAGTATACTTGTATTTTGGTTGTGGAGTTGCCTGTCGGAAGCTGTCGACCGCCGGAATCGAAATCTCATCGCCCGCTTCGGAAAGACATTTAATTTACATATAAATATAGGTTTAGAAAAATATGAAATCAAACTGATCTCATATCCTTCATAGTTCAAATGAAAGAGCACTACACCTCAAGTTATGTGTCTATCCCGAAAGATAAACACAAGACTTGGGGGTGAGACTCGATCAAATAAACTAAGAAATATATGAAATTTGTTTGGTATGCGAAAACCATTTTTATTTATAAGCCGACAAGTTCCCCTATTTAATACAAAGAATTAAATAGGGTTTTATTAAGCTGGGTTCGGAAAAGCTTTCTATAAGGGCAAGCCCCTATAGTTAATTACATCTTAGATAACTAAAATCACCTAAGAAAACTCCCGATAAAAATCAGGGGATCTTATCTTCAAAGAGGCCAAGAAATATGACTTTTCAACGAAATTGGACAAAGAGGTGTGAAAGGGGAATGACTCAGATTTGGAATATTTTATTTTTGAAATCCAAAGGAAAAGATACTAGAGGATGTCTGAGTAGAACCTCGATGACTTCCTAAACTATCTTACTGTTTGGCTTTCATTTTGGAGATTAGAATTATTGAGTGTTTCATCCTGCCAATTTTATTAATTAGGGCTTACATTTGTGTAAAAAGATCACACGAATAGCATGTATGATGTGAGGATTTAGGTCGTAACGAACGACAACCTCGGAATCCTAAAGCGAGTTAGGGCTTATATTGTATAGCAGAACCATACAAAGACCTAAAGATAAGTGCGGATTTATGTTGCATAAGCAAACAACCTCAAAATCCTATGGATTTGTTTTTAAATTCTAAATAGAAGATATGTTGTTGTGGATCCTCTTGCTGTAGAATGCTGCCCATAGAATTGCTCTAAGTTCCTCGATGAAGTAGCAGGTTTTAGTTTTATAAATGTCAATTGAGGAGATGAGAGAAATATCATGTTTTAGAAGTCAAATTTTCTAGTGTGTCAGGTCATGATGTCAAATCAATTATTTTCTGAGGTTATGGTTATTTAAATGCTATGGGGCATATTAAAGTTGATTAGAGTGACACCGGTTAGGATCCCATAGTTCTCTCGTTCTGGCACCAATATTTTCTTTCAGATTCACTTAGTCCAAATGAATTTACTAAACTCAACTTGAAAATGAATTTACTAAACTTAGCTTAATGAGTTCCATACTTTCATTTAGAACGTGGGAAATCTCGTTAGCAACCGTAGGTTACCTCCTCCGAGGGATTCCCGATCATCCGATAGAGACGTTTTAATTTAGTTGCAATTTTGGTTTTTTGTGATGTTTGTGATTAAATTTTGAGTTGCTCGTATTTTGAATGTTGTGGTGGCAAATTTTTTCTTGTTTGATTTTTAGTTTTGGTTTTGGTTTTACGACTATCCTAACAGTTTTGGTTTTCATGCAGAGTGACATCGTTGTTTAACATGCAAGCTCGAGGCAAGAAGTACAAAAAGGTAAATGCAATAATTTAAAAGCTTACTTGTCGATTCTTCTCGTTCCTCCACCTGAAAGGTTAATACTTGCAAAGCATGTATATAAATTTCCAGGGAATTTAAATTGCAGGAGAGAGGTTTAGCTACCAAACCCAAAGTTATGACTTTATTGAATTTCAGAAAATCCTAGTGGATAGTTTTAGAACAAAAATATGGCAAGTCCAATTTTCCCTTCAGAATGTCCAATATATTTCAAAAATGCTCGAGACATGACCTTGAGCCATTGAGACATGGACCCTGAACTACTTTGAGGATCCCTTGAATTATTTCATGTTCATTTTGAACTTATCATATTTTTGCATCAATCATTCAAGGTTGAATTTTGACTACCCGTTGCTCAGTGAAACTTA